CCGGTAGCAATCTCCTGATGAGTCAGGATATATATGGGCGAGTCTAGTCGGGACCATGTACCACTTCATAACCACTTTATATGCCACTTCGGCGTTGGTAACATTACGGGAGCATTTGGCAATACTCTTCCACATCCGTCTCCACGTCTCCAGGGGCCACTCCTGCCGCAACTCCCTCCCCCAGCTGTGAACATAAGAGTGAGTGATATAGCTAGGTAGTCTATTCAACTGGGAGTACAGAACCGACACCAGGCCCGGGCCCCCTGGAGCGTGCAGGCAAATATGCTCAAAACAGGTGAGTATACCACCAGGCTCCCTTCTTTTTATTAAGGCAGAGGTCCAGTGGTGGAGCTGGAGGTATCGAAAGTGTTCAGACATTGGTATCTGTTTACGTTCCCTCAGGTATTGCCAAGAGGGTATGGTAGGGGATCGTGCCATGTCGTATACTATTTTAAAGCCATTGTCCGTCCACCACTGGAATGCTCTGGGGTTGTCCATTCCTGGTGGAAATAGGGGCTGGGACACCAAAGGCAGGAGTGGAAAATATGGGGAGAGTAGGTTGGCAGAATATTTAATGGAATCCCACACCTTAAGTGAATGTATCATCAGTGGACTCAGGGTTTTAGGTCTGTTAATAGTTGGTATCCAGGGCAATGCTGATAGTGGCACCGGTGAGCAGTTAGGGATTTCCAGCATAAGCCAGAGAGGGGGGGATTGTTGTTGGTGTAGGGAAATCAAAGGCAGAAGTTGGGACGCCTGGTAGTACAGTTGTATATTGGGTAAGCCTACCCCTCCATCTCTCTTGTGTTTGTATAGGGTGGAGCGTGCCACCCTGGCCCTAAGAGGGTGCCATGTGAAGTGGAGGATGCTCCGCTGCATTGAACGTAAGGCGAAGGAGGGGATGGCGACCGGAAGCGTTCTGAAAAGGTAAAGAAGTTTCGGCAGTATGGTCATCTTAACTGCCGACACTTTACCCAGCCAGGAAAGTTTATGAGGGAGCCAGGATGTCAGCATTTTCTTTAGGTCTCTAAATAGGGGGACATAGTTTGCAGCGTATAGAGTGTTGTATGTGGAAGTAATTTTTACCCCCAGGTAGTTGATATGGGACTTAGCCCATTCGAATGTAAAATTGGTACAAAGATGGTCATATAAATGTCCAGGGAGCGTCACGTTCAATGCAGCGGACTTACCCCAGTTTACTGTGAGTCCAGTTATGGTGGAGAATGTTCGTAAAAGGTTTAAAAGGTTGGGTACTGTGGTATGCGGCTGAGTCAGGGTAAGCATAACGTCATCGGCGAAGAGGCTTGCCTTATATTCGACCCCCGCTAGTTCGATGCCTCTAATGTTGGGGTTTCCACGAAGAAGAATCGCTAGGGGCTCAATTGCTAGTGCGAAAAGGGCCGGAGATAGGGGACATCCCTGTCGGGTGCCCCTCTCGATCGGGAATTCTTGTGACAGGCGCCCTAGGTATTTAATTTGGGCTTTGGGTGTGGAGTAAAGAACCTGCAACCAAGTTAGGAACGAGTCTCCAAAACCCCAGCGGCGTAGAATGTACTGTAAGTATTCCCATGAGATGGAATCAAAAGCCCTCTGCAGGTCTAGGGATAGTAGGAAGCCTGGAATGTTTCGGGATTGTAGTACATGAACCAGGTGTATTATTTTCCGAACGTTGTCCCCCGCTTGCCTACCGGGAATGAATCCCACCTGGTCTCTATGGATGATATAAGGGAGGATGAGATTAATACGAGTGGCCAGTATTTTTGTTAGAATTTTAATATCAATGTTTAGCAACGAGATGGGTCTGTAGTTCTTGGGGTTTAGATGGTCTTTATCGGGTTTGGGGATCATCGATACATACGCCAGAAGGGACGATGGATGTAAGTTTGAGCCAGTTTTAAGGGAGTTAAACATCCGGGCTAACTTAGGGGCTAACAGTGGTGCAAGTTTCTTATAATACAAAGCGGAGTATCCATCGGGGCCTGGCGCTTTAGATGGTTTGAGGTGTTTGATAGCGGTTAGAACTTCTTCCATTTTAATATCAGAGTTGAGGAGGTCCAAATCGGCCTGTAAGATCGGTGGGAGGGTAGCATCTTGCAAGAGATCGTCCGCTTGCTCTGGTCGGAATGATCTCGAATTGGCGTATAGCGTTTTCAAATCATGTTGAAAGGACATTAATATTTTGTCAGGGTTTGCTGTAATACTACCACAAGATTTCCGTAGTCTGATGGGAGTAAACCGGTTCGGCAAAGTGTTTAACTTATTGGCTAATAGAGAGCCTGGTTTATTAGCTCTAGAGTAGAATTTATGCTTAGCCCATCTTAGTGTCTTATCGGATTGTTGGTCCAGCAATAGGTTCAGCTCAGCTTTGACCGTATTTAGTCGGGTCAGGAGCGTGCGTTCGAACCTGTCTTTAAGGGCCTGGTCCAGTACTCCCAGCTCAGACTGTAGTTTGGCTATCTTGTGCAGTCTTTCTTTCTTGCGGCGGGAGGCAAGCTCTATTAGATGCCCTCGCATTGTAACTTTGTGCGCCTCCCACAGGGTTACAGGGGACTGGACTGAGTCCTCGTTAAGTTCAAAATATTGTCTAGCGCAAGTTTCAATGTGGAACATGTTGTCTATAGTGGACAATAGGGAGTCATTTATTCTCCAGTGCCCCCGGCCATGAGTGCCGCCTTCCAGACGAAATTGTATGACGTTGGGGGCATGGTCTGACCATGGGATTGCCTTTATGGTGGCCGATATGAAGTGGGACAAAAAGCGTTGGGTTGTGAAAATGTGATCAATTCTGCAAAAGATTTGGTGGGGATTAGAAAAGTAAGTGTAATCTTTAGTGTTGGGGTTCATTTCTCTCCACACATCCACTAAACCATGATTGTTTAGAAGGGTTGCCAGGGAAGGATTGTTTATAGGGGGTGCCGATACTGGGGTTGGGGCATTTACCTTATTGGTTTTATCCATATGGGGGAGTATTACCATGTTAGTATCTCCCGCTAAAAATAGCAAGCCTTTAGTATGGTGTTGGACTGTTTGAAATAGGTGCGAGAGGAATTTGATTTGGTGCGTGTTCGGAGTATAGTATGTGACAAAGGTAACCGCCTCATCAAAGAGAGTGCCTAGTAGGAGGATATAGCGACCGGTAGGGTCAACTATTTGCTTGTGGCAAAGAAAGGGAAAGGTTTTCCTAAAGGCCACTAGTACCCCTCTCTTTTTTTCAGTGAAAGTAGAATGATAGAACTGGGGATAGTTTTTATGGAGGTAGTGTGGGCAGGATGTCGTGGGGAATCTGGTCTCCTGCAGGCAGATGACATCCGCATGGCAGGAGGAGTAGTATGAGAAAGCCTTATGCCGTTTGGAAGGTGAATTGAGCCCCTGAACGTTGTGTGAAATCAATACAAACTTACTAGCCATTAGAGGAGGATAAGTGGGACGATGCTTGAGATTTCAGCCGCACACCACAGTAGGGGTAGATAGGGTAGTCCGCATGGTCCAGCGGGATAGCCCGATGTGATGGGTAGGATGTTGATCCAAGAGAGATGTAGGGGAGGGAGGGGAAGAAAACCTTTAGGGTAAGACAAAACACAGGTTAAAACAAAAAACGGATGAACCATAAGGTACAACAGTAGCAGCCGTCCGTGAGGATCGGCCTCGCAGGTAACGGGATCGGAACTATCCGTCCCATTGCTTGCCATGCGGAGGGGTGTTACTACCGATCCCCATGGAAAGCGATATCTTGTCAGTCATGACTACCTGAATAAAGCTATTTACAACTACAAATCCCAAATGCATTAACATCAGACATCAACGGAGTCTAAAAAGTAAACAGGTGCTTCAGCACGCAAGGACCAGAGTGAGCGCGTGGGCATCCAAGGGAGGCGGCATCATGGTACCCCGGCCATGTGGGAGCACAACGGGTACTCGCCCAGGTGGCAAGGGCAGGGGCATCGACAGCATCAATAAACAACCTCAGGCACCCGCTTCTCCCTCAGTAACTTATAGGTTGACGGCCCAGTGGCCAACTCGGTGGAGGGCAAACTTTATGGGGGAGTCGATAAGAAAAACTGGAACCAGGTGGATCTCACATCATCAGTTTGGATCTGCTGGAAGGGGGTTATCTCTCTGCTTCTTCTGTGGGGATGTTCGCTTCTTCTGTTGCCTCTCCCAGATCGGGCTCGGTGGGACTGTAAGACGCTTCTCTTTCTGTGATGAGGTGTGCATTTGTGAGGGGGGCAGTAGAGATAAATCCGCGAGAATCTTGCGGAGGTCGTCTGGGGTAGATGCTGCGAACGGTTTCCCATCCCAGTTGAATAGCACCTTAAAGGGGAACCCCCAGCGGTACGGGACGTTTTGCGCTCGGAGCACTTCCAGCAGGGGTTTCAGCTCTCTCCGCCGTTGGAGCGTGGTTGGGGAAAGGTCAGCATAGATTTGATACGGATGACCCTGGAAGATTAGGTCTCTGTATCCTCTGGCGGCAGACAAAATGGCCTCTTTGGTCTTGTAGTAGGTGAACTTGATGATTATGTCCCTTGGAGGACCATCACGTCATCTTTGTGCCAGGGCCCTAGTGCGACCCCCAGCTGCTCAGAGATTGAATCAAATTCCCTCTCTTGAGATTCCACAATCGTAATCACATTGTCCATCTTGGTTTCTAGAAGATCTGTGCAGGTGCCTATCTCTTTAATTTCAGACGATAACACTGCAGCCAGCTTGACAGTTGCCAGAGTTAGCTCTGTTTGCAGCATCGTGCGGAATTTATCCAATAAGGCCATGTCCCTGACACTCACTGGGTCGTCTGCTGGGGTCAGGGGCATGCTATCGAGGGAGGAGGAATCAAATACCTCAGGTGTGGGAGCCGGAGAGGCCCGCGGTTCCTCGTGCTGAGACACGTCCGCCATCTTGGGTCCCCGTCGGCTGCGTGTGAATCGCGGCTCCTTCTGCCTCCTGGATCTCCGCATCACGCTCCACGTGTGGACGAGTGTTGTGTCCGGGGTTCCGGTGGCTGGATGGTCGGTCAGGTAGGCTTATGGAGGCTTTTGTCTGCTTTCCAGGGGATCGGTGGAGCGGAGCTCACTCAACCAGCGGCCATCTTGGTCGGCAGCTCGCCACGCCCCCCGAAAACTTATTTTCAGCAGAGATCAGTAGACTCCAAACAAAAGGAGCTCCACTTTTATCAGTTTTAGATACACTGGTCTGTTCACACCAGGATTTCCTCTGCCTCTTCACAATGTCCAACTCTCAGGCATCAGTCTGGCTTGTCAGTCTGTCTGTGTAAACTAGATTGGCCTGCACATATACTTCCAATGTGTTAGGCTTCAAGCTGTTCTTATAGCACATAGGAGCACAGACTACAGAATACTCTCTTTTGTGGGCAACACTTTCTTGATATATACAAACACACTTTTTGTAATCTTAACCTAATAACTATAATAATGAGTGTGATTTGCGGTGGAGGGGCTCACAAAGGAGACTAGTGAGCCCGATGACTGATGGAGGGTTTTACACCATAATAGGTAAAAGGGTTATAAAATAATGTCTTTAAAACATTTACTACTACTTTGGAATCAAACGTAGACAACTTAGAAATCAGAAACTGTTGAGACACTTTGGTCAGGGTGATGAAACATGAAGATAGGATGCAGAACATAACATATAGAGTGCAGTGGTCAGTAATATATAATGTACAACATGGCTTCCTGAGTGCAGTAGTCATTTCTGAGAGCTCACTTATGTTAACAGTCAGTGATATGTGCCTCCTTGCTCCCTTTACATTGGTTGTCAGTGCCACATTACATTGCTGTTGTGGTATGTGAAATGTGTAATGTCAGGCTGAATATCACTCTTCCTGGGGCTGCTAGCATACAACAGAGAAAGTTGTTTTGACAGATCTCCTGTGTCTAGTGATGCCTATGTAAAGGAGTCCTGCAAGAATGGTTGATGGTGCACACAGTATACTTTCTCAATTTTCCCTCTTTATGGGAAAGATAGACAATTTTTGAATTTACTTTTAAATTCTTTTTAGAATTTGCCATATTAAAATAACAGGTCACTTATGTGCTCACAGACCTTTTGCAATATACATACCAGCCTGTATATCCATTGCGCTTATATAGTATCTTTAGTAGATTTATTCCAGAGGCAAATCCACTAAAACTGGATATCAACTTAGTTATTCAAACAGTTTTTGGTGGATGTGTTTGACAATAAAAAAAACAGAATGTTTACTCTCTCTCTCTTTATATTGCTCAGTAATTTTAATAACATAGTAGTATGTAAGGTTGAATAAAAACCAAGGTCCATCCAGTTCAACGTGTGTGTGCGTGTGTGTGTGTATTTATCTTGCTGTAATATTTCCCATATCCCTGTCGATTCTGTGACAGAAGAAACTCATCGAGAATTTTATAAAGATCACTTCCCCCTGAACTAATATTTCAGTTATGTATTGTTAGCAGCATGTTGGGTCAAAAGCTGGCTCCTTTTATCCCTCTTGAAATCCATTGGTAAAATATCTATACTTGATTTCCAGCTACATTTAACTGAGGCATCCATTACAAAACCAAATAATGGCAGTAAGAACCGCAATTAATTTTCCATAATATATAATAATGAAGTAGCTGGGATGCTTTATGATAGCTTTTGAAGAAGGAAAAGCACACAGACTACTGTGGAGAAAACACAGGAGTCTAAGTAAGATACAAGAAGCTGGAGTAAAAATCAGCTCACTGATGCCCATCCAAAAGGTTTTGGTGGAGTTTAATTTTGATAGGCAACAGTTCCCCAAGTCAGTTCCCCAAGTCATGAAAAAGCTTAGGGGCCAGTGTATAAACATTCTGCCGATTTACTTTTTTCAATTATGTATTCAATAAAAACATCAATAGATGTAATGGTGTATTGTTGAAAAAATAAATTAAATCCTTGGCACCAACAGTTGGTATTGCCCCATTAGCAGAGAAGTGTTCTTGTAGGCATTTTGTATAATCAACCACCAATCTTGGGCTAAGAGAAATGTTCCAATACTTCTCCATGCAAACATTTTTTAGCTGCAGGATGTTTGTAGTTTTTTTGCATGAACTGCCCATTTCAAAATCCACCTGCAAAATTTCAATGGAAATCAAATTGGTGCTTTGACTAGGGATGTCCATCACCTTCTATTTCTTTTGAGCCATTCCTTGGTGGATTTGCTAACATGCTACCATGTTAAACAACTCATTCTCAGTTAAACTTCAACACAAATCTGCATTATTGTTGTAAATTAATTAGGGCTGTGCAAATTAACGATTAATTTCTCGATTAAGCGTTAATCTTTTTGATCCATTAAAATGTTTTTGATCGACGAATTTTTTTTTTGAAACTCTCTGCACGAGCGCCAGCCAAGGCATTGGCCTATACACATACAGCACAGCAATGAAGTCATACAATGAACTAGGATCACACTAATCCAGCACGTTATTATTCTGAGTTGCCCCACGTGAGATTAATAAAATGCTGAATTAGTGTGATCCTAGTTAATTGTATTACTTCATTGCTGTTCTTTATGTGTATAGGCCAATGTAGTTGGATCTGTATGTGCATTATAATTAATCGAAATTAATCAATTCATCGATTTAAAAAAAATTAGATTAATCGAACACAAAAAGTTTAATCATTACCAGCCCTAAAATTAATACAGCATGTCAACTATATGTGTCATTTGTTCTAGTATACCACCTTTATCTGTAGGCACTATTTAAATAAAGATCTAATATTTGCCTGATCAATAATTTCCATGGGTGTACTTACTTTTTCACATGACTGTATGCTGACAAGGAACATGTTGACAAGAGAACAGAGTGGGCAGACCTTTAATAGTGATTAAATATCTTTGACAATTTTCTTTTGCAAACAATATGTCATTGAAAGCTTACAGTGACATTAAACCCTCAGATTTTTTAACATAAAACAATACTGTAATGTGTGCCTTACTGTAATCCATGGTAGTTTCCCTTCTCTTTGCTGCTCTTCCTTTTAAATCCATATCTCTTCTCATGCTGGGCAGAACTTCTGTTTTGTTTAAAAGGAAGAGCAGCAAAGAGAAGGGAAACTACCATGGATTACAGTAAGGCACACATTACAGTATTGGTTTATGTTACAAAATCTGAGGGTTTAATGTCACTTTAAGCCTTTGTTAAATGTAACGGTTAAAAGACTTGTCTTGTCTCCACAGCTAACTTGGCCACCACAGATATAATATTTCTTGTGTGCTGTGTACCCATCACTGCTGCCTTGTACCCCCTTCCTGGATGGATATTTGGTGAATTCATGTGCAAATTTGTAAACTATATCCAGCAGGTGAGCATGCAATTCAAGACTTTCTGACCAACTGTGTTTGTTTTTTAAATTCACAATAAATAATTTTACATATATTCCCTCTTTCTATCTTTATCAAGTCTTGAGAAAAACCTGACTGAGCTCCATGGAAACATTGACAAAAAAATTCTGTTATTTTCACTTATTTGCGCTGCAAGACCCATTAGTGCCTCTATACCTATATTGGATTTGTATGGATATTTATTTGTTGGTGAGCACCCAGACATTTACCTGTTCATTTAGTGCCCTCTGGGAAATCCAAACTCTTATGGGGTTATTCACTCAGCTGCCGAAAGCAGCTGAGTGAATAACCGAGCCGAAGTGAAGGGAGCTGAACCCTGTTCAGCTATTCACTTTAGCTGTGTACCGCTGTTTTCAGCCATACATCGGCTGGCTTAAACTCCCTTCGGTTCAGCCAAACAGCCTCAACGCATTCGGCTGAACCGAAGTGAAGAACACGTTCGCCTCAGGCAATCCAACATCTGGCAAGCGTTTGACATTTCAGTCCCTGCTGTTCACCCCTATTCTCATGGGGTTGAACAGCAGAAAGTGAATAGCCGAATGCTGCCATGCGGAATTCGGCATGGTCATTCTGTTCGCTTCCTCAGAGGTAGCGAACAGAATAGAAAAAAATTACATGCAAACAAAAAAAAGAAAATGCTGTGCGGCACCCCCTCCCAAACAATACCAGAATGCATGGGATTCCCACCAAAAGTCATACCAGGCCCTTTAGGTCTGGTAGAAATTGTAAGGGGGAACCCCACCACCCAATAATGGAAAAAAGCCAGGAAAGGGGGGAGATGAGCGACCTCCCTCCCCCCTTCCCCCCCCCCATCATACCAGGTCACATGCCCTTGGTGCTCAGCTCCCATGCTGATGGGGACAAGGGCCTCTTCCCCAAAACGGAAAAGGACCTCTTCCCCACAACACTGGCCCGGGGGTTGTGGGGGTCTGCGGGCAGAAGGGCTTATTTGCATTGGGGTACCCCTTACATAAAGAGGGCACCCAGATGCAGCCCCTCCTTGTGAATTTCCTTTCCTGCTCTGCCAGGCCAGTGCTTGGATTAAGGGTCTGGTTGGGAATTTTAGGGAAGACACAACTTTTTTCCCATTATTGGGTGGTGGAGTTCCCCCTTAGAATTCGTACCAGACCTAAAGGTTTTTTTTTTAACTCGTGTTAAAGGGTCTGGTATGGTTTGGGAGGGGGACCCAGCCCTGTTTTGTATAAATATATTTTTGTTTATATTTTGCAGGGAGAACGTTTTACTTTGGCAGACCGTTCTCCCTCCGTCGGCAGTGTCAGCCCTCGTTCACACCTGAACGTTTTGTAGCGCGTTCTACGCTCGACGAACGCTCTACAAAACGCTCAAAAATATAAATCCCATTGTATTCAATGGTCTCGTTCCCACCTTGGCGTATTTCCGCCCGTCCCTAACGCACTACAAAACGGCCCACGCCTGAAAAGGTACAGGTACTACTTTGGGCCGTTTTGTTGCGCGTTTCCATTGGGATACAGCCAAGTAGCCTAAAAAAAAGTAGGTAAAAAAAGGCGCAACAGACGCGCATATGCAATACGCCTAGGTGTGAACGAGAACTTAGGCTGCATATGCGTTCAGGTTGGCTGAGTGCTTCGGCTGCTCTTGGGCTATTGTGAATAGTTCATACAGCAGCCCTTCGGTTCGGCTGAACCGAGGGCTTCCCGCAGCTGAAGCGAGCCAAAGGATTAGCTTAATCTTTCTGCTCCTTTGTGAATAACCCTCTTAATTTTTACAGCTGTTCTCCAGATTTACAACCTGAATAGTGATTATAGTTTTGTAAAGCACTACTGATCCACTACCTTCTAATTTTAATTGCTAATCATGTATCATTATACCTCAGTATTTAATTTGTGTTGTAGGTTTCCACATAAAATGTTGTAAACTGTCATTGCTAGAGTTTAGCTACAACTGGGTTCTTTTATGGCATCCTCTTCACAGAGGAAGTTTTGGTTATTATTTTGCTCTTCTTAAAAGCTACCTAACTTGACCAGTTCCCTTGCTCATAAAAGTTGCTATATTTGAGGTTGTTTTTTTTATTAAGGCTGCAGGGCAATAGCTATCTGAAAAGAACTGATTATTACAGGTTATTGTCTTTTACCGATCTCTTGCAATGTAACTTTTTTTTTTTAGAGCCGACATTGTTAAGCTGATATTTTCCACAGCTGGTATAACAGGCAAACCAACTTTAGTCTGTATGTCTTCACAGGTTGAGTCACTCTATATTAGGGCTGCAACAACTAATCGACATAATCGATTATAATCGATTATTGAAAAAGTTGTCAACTTTTTCAATAATCGATTAATCGGCTTCCGATCAGTTGGCCCTGTTCACGGCTCCACACACGCTGCGCACCGCACCTCCTCCCCAACTCACGCTCAACGCTGCCAGACCTGCCCGCATCCACGTTCTACACGCCGCACCTTCTTCCCACCTCACACTCACCGCCCGCCCACATCCACGATCGGCACAGGGACGCGGGGAGATGTAGTAAGGAGGAGCAGGTGTGGGGGGATGACAGCCACTGATAGACAGGCCCGATCTCAGAAGCAAGTTGCTGGAAGACTGCTCAGGTAAGCCTGCACTTTCCCACACATGGTGCTCTATAATGTATTGCTGGGATTTGTATTCCTCTATAGCTGATGGTACATTGTGCTGTATATTATACATAGGAATGCAAAACCCAGCAATACATGATACACTGTGTGTATCATGTATTGCTGGGATTTGTTGTACTCCTCTATAGTTGGTGATATTCTGCACAGCGCCATGCAGAATTCCACCAGCTATAGAGGAGCACAACAAATCCCAGCAATAATACATTATACAGTGGTGCAATGCCGAACACCACTGGCTATAGAGGACTACAAAACCCAGCAACAGTACATTATACAGCGCAATGCAGAATACTGCCAGCTATAATGATGTACTATTGCTGGGATTTGTTGTGCTCCTCTATAGCTGGTGATATTCTGCATTGCGCTGTATATTGTACTATTGCTGGGATTTGTAGTCCTCTATAGCCGGTGCCATTCTGCATTGATTGCTGCATAATTTTACACTTTCCATTTCACTATATTGCACACCACACTTTTCACTTTTTTACCTTCACTGCTCCAAGCTTGCTCCTGTGATGGACTACAATCTCAATACAAACTAGTAGTCCCATCACTGGAGCCATTTTTTTACATTTATTTTATTGTTTATCTGATTAATCGATTAATTGAACTTAATAATCGGCTAACTAATCGATTTTGAAAATAATCGTTAGCTGCAGCTCTACTCTATATAAGCTATCCTTGGTCAATTTCAAGAGTTATACAGTATATTTCAAGAGCTACATATGTTATTAATAGTTTAGGACATAAGTAAAATTCCTCATCTGAATTATTTTAGGTCTTTGTTTAAAAATGTGTCAAAATAATAAATTAGGGGATAAGGCAACAAAATAAATGTAAAACATCACAAGGACTCATGTTGTTATATTATGAAATATCCAAGAAAAAAATAATGTCTTGCAAAAAGTCTTGCAAAATTTATGTCTCTTTTCCAAGAAGACCAACCACACAGTTATGTAACCATAGGGTGTAAACCTTTATTACATCCATCCCCTTATTGTGACTTTTTATTAGTAGCATACAGAGCAGTGGCGTAACAACCGGGGGTCAGACGATGTGGCTGCCACGGGCGCAGAGTTGGGGGGGGGGCGCCTGCCGGCCAGGAAACATAATTCAGCCATGAAGTCTGTATTTCACTGCAGCCGGGCAGGGGTATGGAAGCAGCGCAAGTGTAGGCAGTACAAGGAACCGTTGGGAGGTGTTGAGCTGAAAAATCATGTCCCTGCGGATAATCAGGCTATGATAGCTGAGCTCCGCCCCCCCGTTCTCTGGTGCGATTGCTGACCGTATCTGTCACCTGTTGTACTGTATGCCTTATACTAAGTGCTCCCAGACAGTGTGAGTGTAGGAGGAGCAATATGTGAGCTGTCCCCGCCCCCTGTTGTATGCTGTGCACGCTGGCAGTACATGCCATGTGCTCACAGTAAGTCATCCCATTCAGTGTGTGGACTGCACAGGAGCATTTGTGAGATGTCCCTGCACCTCATCATACTCTGGAGGTAAGGGGGAGGGATGGGGTGTGTGTGTTTTAGGTAGGGGTGTGTGTGTGTGTGAGGTAGGGGTATGTGTTTTTGTGGGTTTAAAATTAGTATTTTGTATGAGCTGCTATAGGGAGAGACCATACATAGGGAGTGATTACATCCAGTGGCGTAACTACCACCATAGCAACCCACGCGGTCGCTATGGGGCCTGGGGCAGAGGGGGGCCCAGTAATGGGGGCGAGGGGCTCAGCAGTGTAGGTGGAGGACGAGACCCGGCTGCTGCGGAGGAGACTGGGGCCCTCGGCCGTGAGTGGTGAGAAGATGAGGATGGCTAGGGTGGTGAGGAGGTGAGGAAGGATGGTGAGAATGGTCAAGATGGTGAGGAGATGAGCCGTTCCACTGAAAAAGCATTTTTTGCTTTTTCAGTGGAACGGAATGCAGGCAAAGTTTTGCCACGCGTCCGATACCTGCCCCAGAACGCAAGGGGAAGTTTTGTGAGTGATTGTGGTGCGTTCCAGCAGCTACCACTCTGGAACGCACCGCATTCGGTGTGAACAAGCCCTAAAGAGGAGTTCCAGGCTGTAAAGTCTGTACTGGAGGGAGGTGAATATATTTACATATATTACAATGACCTCTATGCTACCAGTCCAGAGATCTTCATGCTTAAAATGTAGGAGATGACATGCCTCCACTCCCTGAGAGCTGCTCTGAAGATGGCCAGAATTAGTGATTTTGCTTAAAAAAGTGAAAAAACATGCCAGCTCCCTAACTGTATACATTAAAATGTCTGGATCAGGACAGCACAACATTAAAAATGTAATTAAATAATTAGTAATGCTTAATAATGA